AAGCAGTCTTTATTTTTTCGAATTTGAAATTCAGGAACAAGATTAGATAATAAACTGTAGAAATTGTGTCCATCTAGATAGGTATGCATATGTTAGCTTGACACTTTGTATGTGCTTAATGATTGGGAACAAATTCAGTCAACAACAGTAGTACATTTCTGAAGCTCTGACTTATCCAAATGTATGTTCTCGAGAATGCATGATGATCAAAGTGGACATGCCTATAGCCACACACCACTGGAGGTCCTAGTAAATGCGGGGCTTGTGGAGTCTCCTGTATGTGTGTTATGCCAGGGGAGTATGTAGCATGGTGATGTCCGATTTTGTTCGCTAAGTGTGAAGTGTGAGTGTCAGACAGACTTGAAAAAGGAGTAGTAAAGATGAGAGAAACCAGGAAAGCATGGAAATAGTGGTGGGAATAGGTTATATTCGTGGGAGTGATGATGGCAGTTGTATGTGCATTTTGGTGGGGGAGGGGAAGGGAGGATCGCCTGTCTGATTGACAGACATGGGGTGCAACAAGGATTTATAAAAGTGCCAAATTCCAATCTGCACTTTTTTTTAAATTAAAAGAGAAAAAAAACATGACAAACTATTCAACAAGCCAAAGTGCTTTAGGGGTCTGTAGTGTCCCATTAAGGGTTTAATGATGACATTGTCATCTGCTGTGAATGTTACAAAAATACAGTAACTGTCTAGTAAATGTGCTAATCCTGGACACTGTGTCCAGTACAGAGAGGCTGGGATTCACAATAAAGGCATATGACAAAAAGCATGCCATTTATGTCATGTTCATACAATTCACCAAACCATAAACTGCAGTGATGTGACAGCACAATTGTGAAATGTACACTTTTTCCAGTTAGGCTATTTTTCCTTAGGTTGTGTGATTTATCAAAATGCACTGCTTAGTGAAAAATCTGTTTGTGTTAGCCATTATGGTAACTAATGGATAAAAGGAGAAATGGGGAAGCGCTAAATAACATAATTGGTGGCAGCACACCTGAAAAGGGTAATTCCCTCCAAAAACCCTTCAATACAAATAAAAGAAACAAACAAAAAACACGGTGCACCAGAAATAAAATGTAAGAGCCAAAATTTGGGAGATAAGATAATAAAACAAGAGAGTTGACGTTAAAATGTGTTACAATAAAAAAGGAGATAAGACAAATAAAATAAGTACCCAATGAAAAATATTAGCAGTCCCAAAATTATAGTCTTTGTAGCGAATATTTTGTGAGAAAAGGCCTCCTGAAAATCTTATGGGAAGATCTCACATGCGCAGATGGGTTGAGGCTATGTACGATGGACCCACGGCTCAGATGATAGTGAACAGGGCACTGACGGACGAGTTTCCCATACATTATGGTACCCGCCAGGGCTGCCCATTATCCCCGTTGCTCTTCGTCCTTGCCCTTGAACCCTTCCTGACAGCAATCAGACAGCACCACGACATCACAGGCATACAGGCAGGGGACACACATCACAAAGTGGCCGCCTATGCAGACGACCTCCTCTTTTTCGTTTCTCGACCAGAAATCTCCCTCCCCAACATACTTCAAGCCTTTAAAACATTTGGCGCCATCTCCAACCTAAAAATAAATTACTCCAAATCACACATCCTGAATGCTGACCTGCCCAACGGCCGAGCCTCCCCCCTAAGCCCATGTTTCCCATTCCAGTGGGCGGAACATAAAATACGCTACCTGGGTACGTGGCTGACCAAACAAAAGGGGGACCTATACAGGGAAAACTTCACCCATATGCTAAACCTGTCCAGGAGAGAACTAACAGAATGGTCCTACCCACATATCTCGTGGCTGGGAAGGATCCAAGTTATTAAAATGAACCTCCTCCCACGCCTACTCTATTTATTCCAGATGCTCCCCATAACGATCCCCAAAGTCTTCTTTACCACTCTGCGCTCGATGACAGGTATCTACATATGGAACGGAAAAAGACCAAGGATTAAGTTCCAGGCCGTCACACAACCCAAGGAGAGGGAAGGGCTGGCTATCCCAGATTTCTACTTATATTACACGGCAGGGCACTTACAGAGAGTCATGGAATGGAACAAGACTAACGTACACAAGCAGTGGAAGGCGGTGGAGGAGATGGAGACGGTGGGACCAGTCTCGGTCCTACCGTGGTGCTCCGGGAGGGGGCTCGGCCGGGGCTGCTCCTCTTTAGCACAGCATACCTTACGAGTATGGCACAGGGCATCCCGGACACATGGACTAACCCAACACCCATCACCTCTGCTACCCCTAACACTTCCCCCCCTCAACCCGAGCGCTTTCAGGGAGATCATCCATACACCCATCCCCAGACTACACCACATCTACATACACTCGGGCCGGAAGACACTTCCTGACCTGATGGAGAACGTACCCGCTACATTCCAACAAACCTTCAAATACAAACAACTGTCGAGCTATATAGACTCCCTCCCCGGGGGACGAGCCCATGCTAGGAACCCGACTACCTTCGAAGAGTGCAGTATGCACCCAGACCCTCTACCCCACGGCATTTCATTCCTATACTCACTACTACAAAGGGAGACCCCGACGGAGACTCCTGCCTTCAAGGGCAAATGGGAAACCGCACTGGGGAGGACTTTTACCAAGACAGAGTGGGAAAAAATATGCTACCTCACACACCACTGTTCTACCTTCACCAAGACACAAGAGACGGCATTCAAACTGCTGAGCCACTGGTACCGCACCCCAAATATGCTACACGCATTAGACCCCTCACGCTCCGACTTATGCTGGAGGTGTGGAGAAGCAAAGGGCACTACAATACACCTATGGTGGGAATACCACAGAATTAAACCATTCTGGATGGGCATACACAACATCCTAGGAAAATTCTCAGACGTACCACCACCACTAGAGCCAGCAGCAATGCTCCTACACCACACGACCATACCCAGATCCCGATATAAGAAGTCCATGACCATTAGAATCCTTAATGTGGCCAAACAGGTTATACCTCAATGCTGGAGACAAGATAAGACCCCTCCTCTCAGGACATGGTTCACCCAAATGGAAGAGCTCAGGGTAATTACACTCGGGGGCGACTAACACCACCGAAAAATACATGGAGACCTGGACACACTGGATTGTAACCACCACACAGGCAGATTTCGCTGCCCTGACAAAACAGACGCACACGACTGACCCCGCCATCCCTGCCCCACCCACTCCCCCGCACCACCCGCAGCCTCCCACCCCTCCCTCCTCTGTCCTCTCCCCCGCATACCCCCCCTTGCCCCTCCTTCCCACAAATCTCACTTGGGCCGCAGACCCACACCCCAAAGAAACTATAACATTCTTAACCACCTGGCAGTGGACTCATCAGTCCAACAGACATATACCATACAAACCCTGTGGTGACTTACGGATCGCTGACACAGTACTAACCCATCACCTCCCTCACTAAACGAGATGAGACTGCACACAGAAAGGACCTAGGTGTCCTACCGGACACTAAGTGGGAGGCAGCGAACAAACAAACCAGGGGGAACACGCGAAAATAACAATAGATACCTAACCACCATATTGCTGAACAGGGACCTGTGAGTCCATCATTGAAGTGGGTCTGCGAGCCCGAATACTTGTTTTCATACGTGTTCTGGCACATGTTGTGCTTTAGTTACAATATGCTTGAAGAGACCTGCGAGTCTCACTGTGAAAGTACAATGACAATAAAAATATATTTACAAAAAAGAAAAGTCAAAAAGAACTCCAAGAGAAACCTTTGAACGATATATGTAGCAGCATATCCCATGTCTGTACAGACAATATGATGAAGTAAATAGTAACAAATAAAATATAGAGTAAATTAACAATAGCTAAAGGTCTCCAAGATGGCAACACAATATCCTTCTGGTGTAGTCTCAGCTTGTTCATCATATCCATACTTAGGGAGGCAATAATGGCTTGAGTAAGGGTTGGCAAGACATGTATATCATAACAGGGTAGGGATTATAAACAAGACAAATAGAACTAATGTTTATTTTAGCTTTCGGATTAAAGGATTATTATATATATTAAGGCATAACTTTAGCAATAAATAACAATTGTATTTATGTAGTATGTAAAGATTTTATATTGCTTACTAAGGTGATTCCGACAAATATAGTACTTGGCTTCAGGTTTGTTCTAAAAACTATGGCCCCTTGTTATTAAATGTTTCTTGTGTAAGTTTTTGGCAGTAAACTTCCAAATCATCTTTAGTACGTCTATTTCACGCCTGAAATAATACAAAATTCAAAATAAGTAATTTGTCATCTCCATGCTTTACCACTGCAACTGTTTTCATAGTGATATTCCTGATATAAATTTAAAACATAGATAATCCGGGGGGTGTGGCTAGTTGCTGAGCAAGATGGAAGCATAATCCACAGCTTTGGCTCCAGAGCTCCTAATCCATCGCCATCCTGGTGTACAGAACACAGAAAAAGGCACCACAGCTGAGATGTCTCAACACAAAAACAAAAAGAACGGCTCCAAGGCAGAATAAAATAAACGTCTTCACGCAAAAAATGGTACCTGACCCTGCAGATCAACAGGCCTCTGATAATGATGGTGACAGCATGGAAGGGACAGAAAGTTCGCAACGCGACCCACCGGGGAAACTCACCACGAGCTACCTTACTAAGGCTCTAGGTGATCTCTCCTGAAAACTAATTACTTCATGGCAGACCTCCATGGAATCCCTCCACAGGGACGTGATAGAACTAGGCCAACGCACGGCCCACACCGAAACCAAAATGGAGGAATTCTCCTCCGCACATAACGACCTGGCAAGCCATATGTAGGAACTAGAGGCCAAGCTGGAACGCACCGAAACCAAGCTCGCAGACCTGGAACACCAGGCAAGGCGCAATAATAGCCGCATCAGAGGGGTGCCTGAAACTGTCCCACCCACCGACAGAGCTACAGGCCTATGTCAGAGACCTCCTCCATGCCTACGCACCTGAAATACCCACCGACATGCTCCTATTGGACCGCATGCACTGGGTCCCACGGCCCAGACATCGACGAGACACAACTCCTCGAGATATACTACTAGGAGCACATTATTACGATATGAAGGAACATATCCTCAGAGCCAGCAGGAACAAAGCTAAACCACCAGATGATTACCCCAATCAGAAGCTCTTCATGGACCTCTCTGCCACGAAACTCGGCAGGCAAAGGGATTTTGCACTAATTGTGGAAATCCTGAGATCGAACGGCACACGATACCGCTGGGGGTTTCCTACCAAGATGCTGGTAAACAAAGAAGGGAGAATAATATCCTTACTCTCCCCCGAAGATGGTCTACCTAAGCTGAGATCCTGGGGCCTTGAAAATATGCCGGATGAACAAGCGGACACCCAGCACTGGAGAATTAAGCTGGACTGGCACAAAACCCACAGCAAACGATGAAAACCATAGACTGCACCTCAAATACAGAGACTCCGAGTACCGCAAGTATCTCTTAAGCTTAATTGATGGATACGATAATCCACTTAGCAGTTCCACTATGTGACATGTACTCATAACTGTTGTTATAATTGTTTATGTGCTATTCCGCCTCCTACCCTAACGATGTACCCGCACTGCCCCATACCCTGCACCCCAAGCGCGCAGGCAGGGAGTGAGATAGATCCAAAGACAACCCGCAGGGAACGAGGCAGGTTGAATCCCCAACCCCCACAACAGCGGGGTCCCTAAGCTCCATTATTCCACCCGAGCTTAAAGAGGGACATACCATAAATGTAACCAATTCCCAGCTGAAATCCAGGGGGAAGCGGCAGATAGACCGCGAAACATACTAGCAATGGAAATAGAGAGGGGTTCAAATGATAAATCTGAAGCAGAAATACAGCAAAAACATATTGAAAATTTATAAATAAATACAAAAAGAGAGAAAGCTGGGACTAATTGTATATATTAACTGAGGAGCGGCACAGTGTTTGCAACCCATTAGACTCTACGAGTCACATATTACTGGAATACAAACAGGTGTGATGCCACTCTGCCTTCCCCCATCAAAGTTACCCAGCCGTATTGGCACAACCTGTTAAGGGTAATACATTATCCGAAAAGTTCTGTACACCCTATGTTATGTGTAAGATAGCTCACTTGTTTCCTACCCACGCTGTGCACCCGCGTGACACTGTGCCCCACTGGGGGATTTACTTGTACATAGTCCCCCCACCCCCGGTTACCCCCCTAAGCCTGCCCACGTTGCCCCCCCATACTTACCCTAGGATCTTAAATCATGGTGCAACGTACTCCAATCCGACAAGCACAGTCTCACTAAAACTACTAGACACACACACACCCTAGCAACCCACATACCGCAACATAGGGAGATAAGTACTGATGTAGATTGTGAAACTAGCAGCCTTTTCCATACCACCAGCTTGACCAGCAAGCGACATTGCTGCCCAAGTTTACTCATGCACAACAAATGCACCAGGAAGCCACAAGCCCATTTTACAGACCCCCAGTGTTGATTATTTACTCACATAACGTGAGGGGAATGAACACCCCTCATAAACGCAGGATGTTACTCAGAGAAACAAGCTAAGGCTGACATCCTGTGCATCCAAGAGACACACCTTGTCAAGGCCAGAATCCCTACCTTTGGCACTAAGAACTACCCCATACAATATCAAGCAGCTCACACATCAAAAGCGAGAGGAGTGACAATTCTCGTTCATAAATCACAGATAGCAAGGGCAGATACATCATACTGGTATGCAAAATAAATGACACAACGTATACAATAGCAAATTTATACCGCCCTAACATAAAGGAGAGGAATTTCCTCCATAAGGTGTTAATCAAACTAGATCCCCTCCAAACTGAACAGCTACTTATTTGCGGGGATCTTAACCACATTTTCAACCTAGAAACAGATACCTCAGCAACCCCACAACAACCCAGACATAAAGCCTTACAAACACAGTGTTTGTCTATAGCTAAACTGCTAACCGAATTTAGCCTATATGACTCATGGCGAACGCTCCACCCGGGAGAACTGACCTACTCTCACTACTCTACGGTCCGCAAAACCCACTTCAGAATCGACCATATACTGATATCAGCCCCGACACTACTCAAGACCTTTCAGTGCCGGATAGGTGACATAATGTGGACACATTCCAAACTAGAGGTTGAGCTCCGTGGAAGCTCAATGAATCATTGCTTGCTGATGAGCAATTGAAACTGAAACTGGACAGGGAGCTGCAGGAGTACTTTACCACAAACGATACCCCTGACAGCATGGCATTAACCCAATGGCTAGCCCACAAATCAGTGGTGAGGGGAATTTTAATTAGCCGAGCCTCATACATTAAACGTACAGCCCAAACCAAACTTCTGACACTACTGTGGCAGCTGCAGGATGCAACCACCCAACACTTCATCTCCCCATCGCCCACCTTGCAAACCACCATTGACCAGACACAAAAACTAATCAATGAGTGGCATCTAAACAAAACTGCATACACAATGCAAAAGGGGATATGCCCAGGGCAATAAAGCAGGGAAACTACTCGCTTCAAGACTCCGACAACAGCAACAAGCCTTGAAAATACCCTACCTTATACAAACAGATGGTACAAAAATATACTATTCCCAACACATAGCAGACAAATTGGCAGGGTGCTATTCAGCACTCTATAACCTCAAACATGATACAACAATCCACCAACCTACAAAAGCAGACATAAGTGACTTATCCAAGCCTTGAAAATGGTAAGGGATGGTAAGGGATGGTAAGCCTTGAAAATACCCTACCTTATACAAACAGATGGTACAAAAATATACTATTCCCAACACATAGCAGACAAATTGGCAGGGTGCTATTCAGGACTCTATAACCTCAAACATGATACAACAATCCACCAACCTACAAAAGCAGACATACGTGACTTATCCACCTCCCGACTCTTTCTCCAGACCAACAGCAAACATAACAAACTCCCATCACGGTAGAAGAGCTCCTCTCTACGATTGACGCTCTACCGACTGGCAAATCAATACTACAAAGCCTACTCCAGCACATTAGGACCCCCTTTACACAAAGCTTACCAGGCTAAGCTTACCAGGCTATGAACCCAACGGTATCTAATCAATGCTGGAGATGCCAAAACGACATGGGGGACATGCTCCACATTTGGTGGGGTTGCCCAAAACACTGGCAAGCAGTGATACACCACAGGAGATGCTAATCGCACACATAGCGGCATTACCAAAACCACTAAAGGACAAAATCTCAGACCCATATCATTACTGAACACAGATATAAAACTTTTCGCAAATTTTTTTTCCAACAGATTGGCAACTATAATACCAACCATAGTACATGACGACCAAGTGGGATTTGTGAAGGTGCTAGACTTGATGCATTGCCTTTAAGGAGGGGGGAGCAGTGTGTTCCTCTCTTTAGATGCAGAAAAAGCATTTGACAGGCTGAACTGGTCCTTCCTCCTCGAGGTACTGAAAAAATTCAACTTCCCAACTCCATTCCTGGCAGCAGTAACAGCACTCTACAGCAACCCCTCCACCAGGGTCTCCGCCAGCAAGTTTATCTCCAAACCACTCGCCATTTCAAATGGATCACGACAGGGATGCCCACTGTCCCCCTTGTTATATATCTGTCACGGTTCTCACTGCAACATCCAGACACGGTCGCCCCAGAAGTGCCCAACAAGGGATTTAAACCTGGGTACTTTGCGGTCCTGGGCCTGTTGTTTCTCCTCTGAGCCATCATACAGCTCAATTAATAGCCTGAAGTCTGATCTTGTCTTGTATCCAGCACCGGGGGTTGGAATTTACCTGAGACTGCTCCTGTCACTCATGGTCCACCTGTGGCTGATCACTGACTAGCCAGGTATAAGACACTGCCTCTCCCTGTGTCAGTGTCAGTTCATTGACTCTGATTCCTGTGTTGGTGTTTGTGTTCCAGTGTTCTCCAGTTGGCTCCTGACCTTGGCTTTCTATTTGTGTATCCTGATTTCTGGCATCCTCTGACTTTGCTTACCCTCGTTTATCCTGACTTCTGGCACCCTCTGACCTTTGGCTTACCCACAATGATTCTCCTGCTTGTGTCCATCTCCCTGTGTCAGTGTCAGTTCATTGACTCTGGTTTCTGTGTTGGTGTTTGTGTTCCAGTGTTCTCCAGTTGGCTCCTGACCTTGGCTTTCTATTTGTGTATCCTGATTTCTGGCACCCTCTGACCTTTGGCTTACCCACAATGATTCTCCTGCTTGTGTCTGTACCTGTACTGCGACTTGGAGCATTATCCTGCACAGCCCCAGTGCACAGACTCACAGCCCAGGTGAATTCTTACCTGACCACCTTGGCCTGTGTTTAATTGCAAGGGTGAGCACATATCTCTGCCTACCGGACTCCCAACCAAGGTAAGCCGTGACAATATCCTAGTGCTGGAACACCTCACCACCCTAATCCGTAACCACCCACACATACGAGGTATACGAGTAAAACAGTGAGAATACAAACTTACACTGTTTGCCGACAATATCCTACTCACACTATCCAACCCTAAGACCTCCCTGCAAGCGTTCGCAACCACCCTAGAGGCTTACAGCAAAACGCAAGCCATGAATCTCAACCTTCCCAGCAAATGTGTAAAATACCTGAAGTCCAAATTCCAATATGATTGGAGGACCGACCATCTTACCTTCATAGGTATCAAACTTACCCCTTCGGTGACCCAACGTTTTAAAGCAAACTATGTAACATTATATGATCAGGTGAAAACACTCCTCCAGGGATGGTACAAACAATTTATCTCTTGGACCGGCCGAGTTGCTGTGGTGAAAAAGGTGGTACTCCCGAAATATCAATATCTATTTAGGACCCTCCCCATTCGGATACCGTCCTCCTACTTCTCAGAAAACCAAACATTACTAAACCAGTTTATCTGGGCAAACAAAAAAAAACAGAGTGGCCATCGCCACGATGTACAGACACCACTCGAGAGAAGGCACAAGCCTCCCCAACATACAACACTACTACCGTGCTGCTTACATTAACCCCATCATCATAGCACAAACCCAAGAGTGGCGTCCACAATGGGTGGCACTAGAGTCTGACATATCTCCAGGGCAACACTTTTTATCGGTCACGTGGATCCCGCCTCCCATTAGACCTAAAGGCATAACGATGCTACATACTACAGCCCTGACAAAACATATATGGGAATCCCATAGAGCTACTCTATGCAGGAAAAAAAGGCCTATAGCCCAGCAATGATGATCAACACACTACAACTGCTGATCCCAGACTTTAATTCCCGACTGTGGGAGGGGCACCACATTAAATGCATCACTCAATTACTACAGGGACGAAAAATTATACCCTTCCCACAACTACAAAATGATTATAACTTACCAAGCACAGCTGAGTTC